CCAGACGACTGAGGTTTACCCAGAATGCACTGCAGCAAACAGCTCCTCCCAGCTGTCAGCACGGTGGTGGAGTGTAGATGGTTTGGGCTCCTGTCAGTCTCTGAGTGGACCAGGAACTCCTCTGGAAACCAAAGGCAAGTCCATCTGTCCAACAGCTGAAGGCTGGACCAAACTGGGTCCAACAGAACCATAACCCCAAATGCAACAGAACCAGGGTGTGTTTGGCATCTATTTTAGCTTATTATCAGCTATTTTTACAGTTCAGGTGTCAAAATGCTCGGCTGACTCAGGGACAGGCGCTTAGAATTATGTATTTTATAACATTCATACTTTCCAAGTTCATATACAAAAATGTAATATTTTTATTTTCAAAAACTTTGTTCTCTGCTCTACTCCCTTAACTTTGTCTTATGCTCCGTTTAGCTACAGCTTTGCTTATTTGTAGCTTTTTGCTACTGTTCAACTTCTAATTTAATATTTAGCTGTTGTTTTGCCAATTTTAGCACCTGTTAATTTTTTGTTTTGTTTTATTTTACTTAGTTTCAGTCTCTCTTTCTGTAATTTTAGCTCTTGCTTATACCATTTTTGCTGTTGTTTTACTAATTTTAGCTTTAGCATAAAATCATTTTTTTGTTTATATATATATATATTCAGCTTTTAACTACTTTTAGCTACTGTTTTGCAAATTTAAACATTTAGCTACAGCTCTGGTAATCTATCGTTTGTCTTTCAGTTCTACTGTAATTCTAGCATAAGCTACTGTTTTGCCAACTTTAGCAGCCTTTTTGCTAAATTTAGCTTCTGTATTGTTCATTTTTGTTTTAGTCGTTTTAGCTTTAGCATATTCTTTGCATAATTTTCCACTGCTTAACAGTCATTTTAGGTGTAATAACTCCATTTCAGCTGTTTCAGCCACTTTCAGCTGTCATTCAGCATTTTCTTTTTTTCAAAATATAAAGTTGTTTCTCTTTAACTTTTTTCATAAAGAAGAGATTTTCTTGGACAAAACAACTTTTTAAAGGTTGTTTTTAGTTTAAATCAAACTTTCGATTGAAACTGATCCGAGTTCAGTTTGTAAAATTAATTCTTATTATTTTTTTAAACAGCTCATCCAAACCTTCCTTAACGTCCTCCACAAAGACACCGAATGACCTCGGTGTTTAATAATCCCATCGGTATTTCACCTCCAACATTTGCATACTCGGCCTGAGAGGAATGTAAGGCAGAAACTTTGTGCGTCTGTAGAAATTGGGCCACGCCCTTCAGCGGGTTCTGTAATTACAATTGCGATGTATCCGAGCTGGACTCAGAGAACTGGGCTGGACAGATCTAAAGCAGGAAATGACAACATTTCACACCCGTACATTCCTGTTCCAGTGTGGGGCCCGTTTCAACCTTCTTATTTCCACAAAACAGTTGAACCGGTTTGTGTTCTCACCTGGAAATAAATCCTGACCTCAGCTGTTTCTCACTTCAGCAGGTGTTTACTTTTTTAAATGTTTTTATTTAACAGCTAGTTTCACTGAGTCACAGGACTCAGTTTCAAGAGACCTGTTTGGGAGCAGATGGTGGGGGTTAGGGGCCTTGCTCAAAGGCCCAGAGTGGTGCAAATGAGGGTGGAGGCAGGTGTGGGTGCTTCACCTTTTCCACCCACATTTTGATGTTGTCTGTCCGGGGAGTCGAGCTGGCGACCTTCCGATCACAGGCCCACCTTCTCTAACCACTGTACCACCACTCCCACTAAAAGTTACTAAACGTTTGAACATTTAAAACTAACGGTGTCAAAGTCTGAGTTGAATTTGGCTCCAAATAACACAAACATCCTTCTAATCTGTGACTGAGGTCTTAATAAACAGCTCTCCGGACTTTCCCTGAGGATTTTCACGGTTTTCATTTATTTATTTTATTTAATATTTTGCTGCTTTTTTATTTATTGTTTTATTTTGTTCAACCTTTATCGGACCTGAATTGTTGGAGTATAAAAGCATGAAACACAAATGGACCTCAGAAAAATAAAGTTTTCTGTGAGAACGCTGAGCGCTGAAAGACTTTGCTGAAATTAGCTGAAAAAGCTGAAACTGGGTCATTAGAGGTAAAAGAAGCTGAACATTAGCTATGAAGCTAAAGGAAGTATACATTACCTAAATATAAAAGATCAAAATGCTAAATGTAGCATGCCTACAGCTAAAACTAAATGTAGCAAAGGCTAAATGCTAGACGAACAATTGGAGCTAAAGCCTAAAATTATTAAAAAGCTGGCTAAATGTTAAAACAGAAACACAAGCTAAAAACAGCAACATTTTACAGCTCAAAGCTTCAAAAGGCTAGCTAAAGGTAGCAGAAAGCTAGCTAAAAGTTAAATTATCTTTTGCTAAAGTAGCAAGAGTTGTTAAAAACTTAACATAAGAAAAATGCTAGCCAAAGGCTAAAAGTATCAAAGGGTTAGCTAGCAGCTAAAAGTAGCAAAAGGATAGCTAAAAACAGAAGTAACAAAAAACATAAATTACAAGCAGCAAAATGTTAAAGCGAAATGTAAGATTTGATAAAAGGTTCAAAAACTAAAAATAGCAAGAAGCTAAAATTAGCAAAAACCTATGTAAAATATATAGGTAGCAAAAGGTGAAGTAAAAGCTAAACGTAACAAAAAGCTAGCTAGAAGCTAAAAGTAGCAAAAGGCTAGGTAAAAGCTAAAAGTAGCAAAAGGCTG